TGTGTATGCAAAAGTGGTTGTCATCAATATATAACAGATGCTTGAAAAAGGATTGTTTCCTTCACTTCTGGTACATAACCCTTTGTTACAGGCAGTTCTAAAATGACCACTAAGATTCCTGCCTCCTGGTATAAACACCCTATATAATCCCTACCCTTGGGTGTGAGTGGGACATGTGAATAAGATGGATGTCACGGCTGTGACAACGTTGTGTTACATGGCAAAGCTGAAGGGATTGTGCAGATATGAAGTCCCTAACCACTTTGGCTTTAAGTTAATCAAAGGGAGGCTATCCTAGAGGAGCCTAACCAAATCAGGCAAACTCTTACTCCCTGCCAGTCCAGTGGTTAAGAATCCATGTTTCTCACTGCTGAGGGCGTGGGTTCAATCCCTGGTCAGAGAAGTAAGATCCTACAAGCTGTACCACATGGCCAAAAAAAATTAAAACAAAATCAATAACTATCATTAAAAAAAAAATGGGGGGCCTGGGCCTTCTCCTGCTGGCCTTAAACCAAGCCCCTCTGAGTACTATAACAATGAAATGAAGAGAGCTCTGAAGAGAATCCCAAATTTCAGATGAGACCGAAGCCCCAGCCAAAACTCTGACTGCAGCCTCAGGAGACCATGAACAGAGGACCCAGCTAATCCAGAGCCACACTCATGATCCATGTGAGATAATAAAAGGGTGTTAAGATACCACATTTTTGAAATAACTTACTACAGAGCAATATAAAACTAATACACTCTACTTTCTCTCAAATACCTACCCTTATTGAATGCATTTTTTGCTAACTTTCATTTGTTTAAACAGATTCAAGAATCAGTCAACAACATGATGAAGCCCTTTCTTCCCTCTTTCACATATACACAGCAGTGCACACACACATCAATTTTATAAATATAAAAAGTACCTGAGTGGAAAATAAATAGTATCTAGCATGCCAGTGTTATTTTGTTGAAACATATTTCTCATCTGTAAAATGAATATAATAATAGTATTGACCTTATGGGGTTTATATGAGGAATAAACAAATTAATGTGTGTAGGCAATTTAAATTCTTGCTACTCAAGAGTGTAGTATGACCAGGAGCAATGGCATCTGACAGATTTTTTTTTAAGTAAGACTTCATTTGAACAAGATCTCCAGGTAATACACACACACACTTAAAACCTGAGAAGCACTTCTTTAATCAGCACCTACCACAAATAAGTGCAATATGATCATCGAAAGTTTAAGTCACTCAGTCATGTCCGACTCTTTGTGACACCAGTCCATGGAATTCTCCAGTATAGTCCAGAACTATACAGTGCATGGAATTCTCCAGGCGAGAATACTGGAATGGGTAGCCTTTCCCTTCTCCAGGTGATCTTCCCAACCCAGGGATCAAACACAGGTCTCCCACAATGCAGGCGGATTCTTTACCAGCTGAGTCACAAGGGAAGCCCAAGAATACTGGAACGGGTAGCCTATCCCTTCTCCAGCAGATCTTCCTGATGCAGGAAATGAACCGGGGTCCTGCACTGCAAGTGGATTCTTTTTTTTTTTTTTTTTTTTTCATTTATTTTTATTAGTTGGAGGCTAATTACTTTAAAATATTGTAGTGGGTTTTGTCATACATTGACATGAATCAGCCATGGAGTTACATGTATTCCCCATCCCGATCCCCCTTCCCACCTCCCTCTCCACCCAATTCCTCTGGGTCTTCCCAGTGCACCAGGCCCAAGCACTTGTCTCATGCACCCAACCTGGGCTGGTGATTTGTTTCACCCTAGATAGTATACATGTTTCGATGCTGTTCCCTCGAAACATCCCACCCTCACCTTCTCCCACAGAGTCCACAAGTCTGTTCTGAACATCTGTGTCTCTTTTTCTATTTTGCATATAGACCATATATGCATATATAGACCATATAAACCATCTTTCTAAATTCCATATATATGTGTTAGTATACTGTAATGTTCTTTATCTTTCTGGCTTACTTCACTCTGTATAATGGGCTCCAGTTTCATCCATCTCATTAGAACTGATTCAAATGAATTCTTTTTAATGGCTGAGTA